GGAGTGTAGAAGTCCAGAAAGACTGGACTAAGCTGTTGTCCATTTGGTACTGCAAATTGTTTGACACTAAAATCTGGGATAGTGCAGGCCACTCCTTTTCAAATTTTTGTTTGAGTGTTTTTCTTCCAGCTTCTTTGCATATTGGAATAATTCTGAGCAGAGGTCCTGTTAATTTCTGTGATCTCCACACCAAATCTAGGAACGATATTTAGTGAGAAATAAGTCCAGTTCAACGTAAGAGCCACTAATGAGCTCTGCCCAGAAAACATGTCAGCACATAACACTGGTTATGGGTCCTACCTTGCATTTGCATATGGGGGTGGAAAGTCAGGCAAGCTATTTATCCTTTCCAAAGCCTCAAACTTCATTGTTCCTTGCAGGTTCTATCCAGATGAGGAAGGCCCCAAGGACTGGTCCAGTTCACGCTATGAACATGTCATGAAGCTCCGACAAGCAGCTTTGCAGTCTGCCCGAGACATTTGGGCTGACTACATCCTGGTAAGGAAAGTTCAGAAAGGAAGCCTGGTGGCAGGAACAAGACTGGATTGTTCAGACTGGACTGTTGTCTTTCTGGGATCTCTTCTTAGAGCATTAGCACCTGCTGCTTTGTAGTCCTGGGGCTTGTACAAGCCTCTGTTTGATCCTCTGCTCAGCTAGGTGGTTGCTGAGAAGGTCAGAGACTAGTGCAGACTGAACCTTTTCACACCTGGCACAGGGGCCTGCCCAATTTTAAAATAACGCACATACTTTACCATTTCACTCATTACATTATCCGTAAAACTTCATTGCAGTTAGGATGCTTGGATTCTGCCACTGTTTGTCAAATATTAAGCGGTAAGTACTAGGGTCGTGCATCATGCTAAGCCAAAAGTCATGCTTTGCCAATAATGTTGGGCTTGCACAACTCACTGAGCCACAAAGAAGTCCAGTTTGGGCTTAACGTGTAAACCCAGCCCGTGAATCAAATGTATTTTTGTGGAGCAGCTGTTTCATTTTGCATAGGTTCCAAGATGCAAGGAGCACATTTTAATGCTTTTTGCATGTGGGCTTTGTAGGAGGCATAGATTTTGTCAAGCCCTTTTTCCTAGGTCTGCTTTCCCTGATGATGCTTGTCAATTTGCAGTTCTTAACTACGCATTCACATACCTCTTTGCTTCCTGTTTAAACAGGAGCGCCCTTTTGATGTAACCCTAGTTAAAGAACAGGAGATAAGGAAAATTGTTCTGGCAACCGAGATGGAGATTTGGGTTGATTTTGTAAGGGGCTGGGTAGTCAGTCTGTTGTGTTGTGAATTTCTGCTAAACTTGAGCAGGTGATCTAGTAGCCTCTAGTTTTGGACTTAGCTCTTACTAGTGCAACTGGCATGGCCAGCAGCCTGGACTGTGAGAATTGTTGTCCAAAATAGCTGAAGGGCACCAGCTTGCCTAACCCATTCTAGATCTTAGCGCCAGAGAGGAATAAATATATTTGCCTGAAATGCAGTGGATACTTTTGAAATCAGGCTTCCATTTTACCTGTTTTCTTCAGCTGACCAAATTCACCCAGGTGAGTCTCCCAGGTGTCACCAGGATGTAGGTTCACCAACTGCCTTTTTTTTTTTTTTTT